TGATGATGTCAGGGACAAGACAAAGAAAATGGCTGCTTGTACGTCACTAACAGAGCCAACCATGGTAATGTGTCAATATCTTGAGCATAGGTGAGGACGTGATGAAAGTTCAGTAGGCACTGATACTAACGTGTACTTTATTTTTCAAGGTGCGCTTATACTTACTAGTGCACTATCTGGGGCCCTTGACGGCTTGGCCTTGCATTTGTTGCTAAAACAAGCAACTGGTAATTTTTGCATCATCAACTTTCAATGCAGATTTCACAAGCTCTAAACCCTCTCATTTGTGCTACTTTTAAAGTTTTGGCAAGCCTTTGAAGCCCCGTATAAGTTGATGAAATTTATAAAATTATTCTATTTGTAATCTGGATCACCTGTCAACATTGCATTTAGTAAAATCTTGTGCTCATAAAAGTTAAATCTTCACGTACAGAAAGAAACTTATCTATTTCTACAATACTTGTGTGGCTCTTCGCATTGTGTATTGTGCTTTACTGGTGAACATCCGATGAAATGCTGTCGTTGGACCTAGGATTTCATGTCAAATTGACCCTCACGCATATATACAGATATGTGTTTGCCATATACCAGACATACACATAAGTTTGATACTAATGACCGCTTTGTTATTACGGGTAGTGGGCTCACGCGATGGGCTCAGACAGATTCGAAAGAGAAACAAACATTTATCCCGGGAAAACAAACGGTACTCTAAATTAAATAGAAGTGTACCAAATCACACAATAAACTACAGACTAATGAAGTTAGCTTCGATCTGGTGGCAAAATAGTTCTTGATAATATCCTAAATATTCTCACTCTTCCAAAGTAAAGTTGTCAGTTTCGCCTCATTTGTTTTAGTGGTTCGGGCAAGCCTACGTGGCGCTGCTGACATGGCTAGCTCGTTGCGAAAGTCCGGACTGTGGTCGATCCCAACGTCCACTCCACTGCTCGATACGTCCAGTCACCGCCTGTGCGGGTAGGCCGTCATCGCTGACGCTAGTAGGTACTTCTCTGGATTCTGCCACTGTCTACTGCTTCACCCAGCGTGGCATTCGATTGCTCACGTGGTACTCCAGGGATTGCCTTGGGTGACTTGCTTTCGAAAGAGGGCTTGCGCTGGAAACACTCGTCCTTGTTAGGCATGGCAGCTGCTTCTCCGAGAAGCCTCCGTTCAATCACCATCTATTTCGCTGGTCACCTCAAGACGCCCGCGTCTCAGGCAGAGGACCAAAGCGCTTGTTTTTCGCGTCTCCAGAGCGTGCTGACGATGCAAACTTCCGCCACCAAGTTCCTCGAAACAATGCCAGCCCACCACCTCCTTGTCCGTCCCTTCGACTCGATTCTCGCGCATCTAATTCTGTAAAACATTCCGAGCACGCGCCTCTGCTACTTCCAACGCTTGTCGTCTTCATCGTTTTCTAATCTCGCGGCTCTCACTCATGACAAATCTCCGATTATTCTTCCTGTTGTAATAACAGCAGTGGGCAACATGGCGCACGGTCACTTCCTCATGGTTACCGCAAAGAAAAGCGGAAAACGAGAAAAAGTTCCAAAAGGCTTGAATGTGTGATGTGTACGTTGTTTCCGCTTGCTTCCTTGCTTCACGTTCCAGTTAACGCTAGTGACGCCAAAAAAGCCCTGTGCGACAGTGGAGCATCTCTGTCAATAATTAATAAGATTCTCGTGCATGTAAGGTGCTTGCAAGCTGGAAGGACCCTGCGCATTCAAGGGTAGGATACCGTTTGGGTGCAAGCAATCCCCAGCCTGGTTTCAGAAAGATCATGAACAAAACTCCCAGGCCCTATCTGCGCACACTTTGCAATGTTTACGATGACGACATAATACTTTCCTAAATAACAAAAGAAGAGAAGCGAAGACACATGTCACTAGTTTTCGAAACGCTCAGTATGGGAAGTCTCAAAGTGAACTTCAAGAAACGTGTTTTCTTTCAAGTAGGAATAGTGTTGGTGGGAAGGGTCCTTGATGGTTCCACAAAAAAACTAGAAAACGGGAAGGTGGAATCCCTGGAGATAATATGCAAATCGGTGAAGCTCTATGACATACATTCGTTGCGTCTTTGCCTAGGCCTGACACTTTTGGTCATTCAAAAATACTATACTACTAAAGCGAGATGTCTCACACGCTTGGCCCAGGAAGAAGTACGATTTCAGTGGAATCGCTAATGTGAAAGTGCTTACCCGAACTTGTGAAAATATAATCGTCGGACCATGTCCAAGCAATCCCAGAATTCTCTTACTGTTCGTGCTAGATGCATATGCGTCATATTATGCGAAAAGAAAAAAAAAGGTAAATGAGAAATAAACAATCAGATATAAGGAATACAGAAATTCAACCAGATGGTTTCACCCATAACAATAAGTAAATGTATGAATAAAGCAGTTTGAAAAAAAAAGGTAATTTAGGAGTAATACTAGGTTATACAGCCTAAATATTTTTGAAGCTTTAATAAACTTCTGCAAAGCATCGTCAGCATTCCCGTCAGTGAACCCCAGGGACAAAGCCCCCAAAGGAAGTACGTTTGAAGTGGTCAACTCCAAACCCGCGAGACGGAACATGGCATCTAATGTAACTTTGCGCAATACAGCGTATTTTTTACAATATATCAAATAATGTTCTGATGTCTCAGGGACTCCACAAAACCAACAATTAGGTGAAGCAGCCAGACCAGCTCTGTGTTAATAAAAATTTATATATGGAGCATGGCACCTCAGCCTTGTGATTGAGACTTCAACTGCACACGTGTCACATAATTTACTGTTTGAACGATGATGTAGGTGTTAAAATTCCAATTTGTTTATTATGAATGGCAAAAAAATTCTTCTAACATAATTTTCCTCCTTAATATAGCCCCTATAACGAATTTAAATGCTGGAAGTACGTGAATAATTGGGAAATATATTGATGACTCAGCTACGGCATCCGCCATTTGATTAAGGAAAATTCCCTTATGCCCTGGTACCCAGCAAATTTAACCAACTGTATATACGGTGAAACTAATAATTTAAAAGTACTCAGCACGTAGGAGTTGTCATTTGCAGTGAGAGAAGAACACACCGACAGCAAATCTGTTAAAGTTATTGCCAAACAAGTTTGTGCAGTTAATTTGCAGAGAGCCAAATTTTCTCAAAAACTCTGCTATGAAAATGGCTATAAAAACTGGAATGCGTAGAGAGAATAAGCAATTTATAATAAGGGCGAATATCCCAATTCCACATTTTTTTTTCATTTTTCGAAGCGTCTGTCGTAATGACGGTCCTTATTCATAATTGAACCACATATTCACTCAGAATAAAGGTTAAAGGGTGGTCCGACATTAGTTTCGCTTGTTTGGAAAATTTTCGTCAAGCTGTATTTCGATGTAGCTCTTGCTATCACTGATCGGAGATACGGCACCTATTTGAACATTAAAGTTGTCACGGAAGCTCTGTATATGGAGAACTTGAGGCGTGTGAAATCTTGGCCGATATGCTCAAAAGAACGACTAAGGCTGGGAGATAAAAATTGTTTTAGAACGCCTTCCTGGGGTTTTAGGGAGTTTCAAAAATGATTGTACCACCAATCTTTTCAAACGTGAATTAAGCGATGGGAGCCTAGCTTCCATATACAAGACTTTAATGGTTACAAATTTAGGAAGATCTAAACACAGACGCAAAAATTGGCTCTCAAGCATTGCAAGCGGGCGAAGCTTATAAGCAAGAGCATAAGCGTATAATCTGCATCCAATATTGAGCACCGCCTGAACATACATGCAGTATATTGATAAAAGCGTTGGCCTTCGCTTTGCCAAATCGACTATGACTAATGTTGCGGAACGAAACGACCGTTCGAACACCCTTTATTTATATGTATTCAATGTGTTCTTTCGAAGACGTAGAACGATCGTATAGCACACCAAGGTATTTTATTTGTTCAACTCGCGGAATACACGCTAGATGACAATAAAGAGAAGTATTAATGGGGTATTTCAAAGGAATTGGCAGTATGGAGCAGTTTCGCACATTCAGATGCAGGTGTATTTCATCAAGCTACCTTCCTAGAACTGATAAGTATGACTGTAGCATCTGATATTGATTGTGAATATTGTCGGCTGCTGTAAAAAATGTGTCATCCGCATAAACATATGTTTGTACGTTCTGATGCCTTGGTATATAACTCATTAGTATAATAAATAACGCCGGGAAAAAGACTGCCCCTTTCGGAACGCCTCATGCTTGCGCGTACGCAGACGAAAAAATGCCGCTTTGGGAAAAAAGTAATGTCCGATTACAGAAAAAAAAAACTCAAGTCATGCCGTATTGCAAGTTGGGAGCTTCATGTTGGGCAACTGCTTAAATAAAACTGCATGCTCAACCCTGTCATTCGCTTTTGCGATGTTCAACGTTACTATTACGGCATACTATCTTTCACGCCGAGCTAACCCGATCCGACTCTCAATATTTATATGTGCATGCCATATCGAGCACCATAATCTGAAGCCAACTTGAGACGGATTTAGAATATTTTTCTCGTTAATGCATTTTATTATACGGATATTTAGCACTCGCTCAATCAATTTCACAAAATTAGAGGTTAGTGCAATGGACCTAATGTTGTCAAGTTCACAACCTTCATCGGAATTTTTACCCAGTGGTATATATAGACATATAGTATCCTATAAATGCTAACTTCACTATTGCTTACCAACAAAAATAATGTGAAAGAAGTAAATGACATTACCAAAAAGCAAGAAAGTTGGAAAAAACAGGAAGCTGCCATTACTTCATCAAGATGACCTAATTTCTGAGCCGACCAGACATCTGAGTATCAAACCACGAATACAAATTTAAAAAAAAACAAAAACACGCAATAAAGATTAGGAGAGATGAAGAAGAAACCAGGAAGAACAGTAAAAGCGAAGAAATACGATGAAAAGATATAACCTAGCAAAAAAAAGAAAGACAAAACGGAGGCGACCCAGGTCTCAGGTTTGGTCCCATTACTGCAAAAATTGCTTAAATTTTATTCGTCGGTCGTTTTCTACGTTTCAACAGTATCGGGTGCCATGGAAAATTAAGTTGTTTGGTGACAGCCAGCTTTTGTGATCACGCACGATCGATGGCAACAAGTATACTAGCACCAAAAGTTCGTTTATGTGGCTCTAGATGACCTAACCGCCACTGTACGTATGCGACGTGGTACACTAACGCACTGTAGAGGAAATCTATTGCGAAGAAATAGCCAGGATACGTTGACCTCATTTCCTTTTTCTTCTGTACACGGAAGCTTGGAGCATTCAACTGAGGTAGTCAGGAATGATGCTTTACAAACCTGGAAAATGGAGACATCATCAGACACCTTTACCATTGAAATAGAAATTTTGTTAACTGATCATACAATAAAGTTTCGCATTCACCCATTCATTCATCACCTGATCATATAAATTTATTTATTGTTGAATAAGAATACTGTATGGTGAGGCTTTGTTTGTTTATCCTGAAAGGTGAGTGCATCTGTGTTTTTCAAGTTTGCCTGTTTTCCAACGAAGCGCTGTAGTAACGTTAGCTTCAAGTCAGCCTTGGGGTATAAAGCTGCATGTATGTCTCGTTAGACGTTTTTTTTTTTTGTCCACAGATGGTGCTGCACCGTTTTTATAGCAACTGTCCAAGGTGTGTGTCCCTGCATTGCTCGGTCTTGCTGTGGTCGTTTGCGTCACCATAGGCGGCGTAACCGATAAGCATGAAACATAAAATGCGAATAAATATCCACAAACGAAGGGGGTTACAGTAAGGACCAAAGAAGGACTAACAAGAAACCTGCGTGATCTAGCAGGGCAGAAGAGTAATCTAAGTATTAGTAATAATACAAGGCTAGTTGAACAACATTTGTGTGGTTCAGTGTCTTTCACACTGTAATGTGCTCAGCCAAAACGTTTTGTCATCAGCCAAATACTGCATCAACAATGTGCACAATCTTGCTGACACCAGATGGTGGTACACTCCATGAAGTCAACTGCATTGCATTCGTAGATATAAGTCTACAGAACGCTTTCAGCTGTAGATAGGCCTAATATTTTATTAAAGTGCAGTATATCGTCTTCATTTCTGTCCTTATGACTTCGTCGTATTAGTAATCTTTCGAAGCAACCAGATGTTAAAAAATACCAGCTGCTTTGTCTGGCCATGTCAGGATATACGCAGCGTGAGCTAAGGATGGACCAATGGACGGACGGACGGTTGCACGGCCTCATGCGAGGATGGACAGACCGGTGGACTAGCAAGCGAGATCACGTGGGTCAAGCACCAGCCCACAAGGACACGTCACTGCACGAGCTTCCAAGAGTTCTCCGGTGCGGTAGCTGTGTGACGTCGTGTGACATCACCGCTCCTCAGGCATACACACCACGGCTCTCGTTATGCCACTAAAACTGTTCATCCTTAGCCAGTGTAGCTAACGCTACAAAAAAGAAGGCTGGCACAAGTATACGATTATATGGCGCCATGGCGCAGTCAATGCCTCTAGAAATCAAGAAATAATTATAATATTTTGTTTTAGTTACTACTTTTTAATTATGCGCACAATGACATATAAAGGGCTACTAGTTATTACGGGACGTTTTACAGGCATATCATAGACTGTCGCAGCGTTTAATATTACGGTGCTGACTCGCCTGGAGAGAATTGTTCTTCAAGTCCCTTCACGCTATAATTTTTTTTTCATCTTGTGTGCTACGTTGCGTTCACTGAATGTAAACAGTTCTTGAACTTGAATTGATGGCATAGATTATGACATGCGATGGTCACAGTGTGACTTATGACACGTTCATAGAGGTGTCAAATGAGCATAGCTTCTTCAAGAAAATGTAGTAGCTTTGGCCCAAATTAACCCGCTTCTGTGTTTTGTGCTCCAAATAGCGAAGCTTGTGCAGTTCACACATTCAAAGTGAAACTTCATTCTGTAAAACATATTTACCTCAAAGTATTACTAAATCATCCAGAAACTAATTCATCGTTCCTTGTGGTCAAGCATAGCCTACCAAATTTACCTACTTGGTACACACAGTCTTCAATCCTACATCCCGTTGATGTAATCACTTACATTTGTCCTTGAATATCAGCATAAGTAAGCCCTTTGCTTTTAAGACAGCAGCCGAAGAAACTTGCACATTCTTGAGAAAGTCACAAAACAGGTCCTCAATAGCATCTTGTGGGACGTGGTCGAAAAAATCTCTGGCGATGCACTTGAAATTGGTAAGAGGAAAAAGATAGTGGCATGCAAAATCAGTTTAATGTTTTGCTATCAGTAATGACCCTGATATCTAATGTGCATTACTCCTCTTAGATCACGAAAAGTTTTCATTAGTAATATTAGTGTTAAATAATCAAGTCATTGTACTTGGTGAGCTTGCGTGTCATATTTACGTGAGTTTTACTCAGACGTTTCATGAAAACAAAAAGAAACAGCTTCGGCTTTCAGAATAAAACTTGGTAAGAGCATCAGCTTTTTACAAATGGCGTTCACATTCATTTGCCATGAGCTTAAGTACTAGGACACGTGTCTCATAAAAGAAAACCTTTACTCTACCCGTCATCATGTAGGTTCTTTGTACAGTTTCCCTTTCACAAGTACATTAGGAGTGTACGCGTGCTCAGGCACTTTATGCCTCAGCTTTGATGCCCGTGTTGTTACTCATAGCAGGTCTGCACAAGACCACTATGAAATGTCAGCTTGTATTTTATTGTTATGCATGCAGGCTTTCTTTATGAAAGAGACTTCATAGGTTGCTTTCAATGACCTTAACTTGATGAGTCATTATTTTGTCAAGAAAGTAAGCCATGTTGGTGTCGAAAGCAAATTTTTACCATTTTTTTTTACTGAGAAACCTTAATTTGTAGGCATGAGCTACTCGAAAAATGTTATTTTAGATCTGAGCAGTCTCTAAGCTGTTCAATGTCTTCGTTTTTTCCACTGGTGCACAAGGCGAATTCCGACATCACATTTTCAACTATGTGGGTTTTTAAAAAGATATCGCGCTTATAGATTCCTGAACTGTTTCTTTTATGAAATGTTTCTCGGGAGCATAATGAAACCGCGATATTCAATAAATATTTTCACACAGTTTTGACCAGATAAAAATATTGCATTTCATTCGACATGCGAAACTGCTGCCTCATTCAAAGTACAATTCGCCTTGAGTGCGCAAAAGTATTCCAGCTAGAATTCCTTATATGGGCAAAGCCAAAAGAGGAGTCGGGGTTTAAAAATTTCCCGATTGTTACCTTTTTTTGCATATGTACGCACGGAAACATATAACAATACGCATAAACATAAAAATATAATTAAACCCATGATATTCTCTGAAAATATCTCTGACTATGCTGCTGCCTCACACAAAATTAATACAAGATGGGATTCTCCGAAACTGAACAAAGATTTATGAAGTAGGGGCTACTGCTAAGCTGCGCCATTTAACTTCATCTTTTTTTTTTTTGCTCCCGGAACTTGTCACACTAGTCTATGGAAATGGAATACCAGTCGTTTACACGCCCGATTTTTGGCGTGCTACATGAAATGAAAATTGACGGCGAAAGAATGATGCCGGACAATACAAGCAGGTACTATTGTTTCTTCGTCGATTTTATTTTGTTGTAGCAAGTAAACAGCTTACATTATGTACATCCAACTGGTCCCCCACCCTGGCGCTTCCAGTGTTTACACACATAACAGCAGTGAAGCCCTGACCGAAATTTTGAGCTCTTTCGCCAAAAACTTTAACCAGGGCTTCGACAAGTTGTTTGGCAAAGGCGGCATCGAGGAAAGCCCTTGACGTCCCCTCAAAGGAGGCCTAGGCCCGGCCACCTAAACCTGCAGTTTGTATTTTACAATAAAGTTTATTCCTCCTTCTCATCGTGTGAACACGTATATCTTTTGTGTGTGCGCGCATGTGTTCGTGTTTGTGTGTGCGTGTGAATCAACCTTATGCTTTAGGTGCAGCTTCATAATTCCTGCGTCACTATTACAGTGTGAAGAGAAATAACAATATGTTTGTGGCACTTACCTCTTCAAGATGTATTATGGACCACACTTGGCTCGCCTAGAACAAATACCATATTTATATTATACCAAGACAGGGGGCAAATGTGTCCATGTGTCGATCTAACCTGCTCTGTCCTTTCGATGCGTAGTCTACGTTATATTTGGCGTAGAACATGTGTTTTTCTACAGAGAAAGATGTCATGTTTTCCAACATCAAGATCTTCATCAGGTTCACTACGTCTACTGCAGGGTATCTGCCAAACAACCTGGTCTTGTGCTTTCTGTTGCCACGTTATACCCGCAAGGTTAAATTCTCTTCGACGCACGTAACTTGGCTTAGAACAAGTGTATCACGACAAGGTTACCGCAGTTGTCCTACGCCAATTGTCCTACGGGTACCCTGCAAGGCGGGCTTGCAAGTGGGTACCCTGCAA